AGTAGCATCATTGTTGATGATCGAACGAGCCATCGAATCCTTCGTCGACAACACAGAGGAACTCTCAATGAAAGCACCAATGTCGGTGTCAAAACCGGCAGATCTCGCGTAGGGGGTCCCGAATTGTGCGTCTAAGGATCGATGGTAACAGGAGGCAGGGGACACGATGTTTACGCAGGTTCGGGCCATCTTGATGGAGGTAATACCCTACTTCCTGCTTGATTGACTCTGATGAGTATAGGGGTTACAAGAGTTGATCTACCTCGAGATCGTAATGGCTAAACCCTAGATGTCTAGCATGTATGATTATGATTGTCTCTACGGACTAAACCCTCCGGTTTATATAGACACAGGAGGGGGCTAGGGTTGTACAGAGTCGGTTTACCGAGAAAGGAATATTCATATCCAAACACCAAGCTTGCTATCCACGCAAAGGAGAGTCCCATCCGGACACGGGGGAAGGCCTTCTTGTATCTTCTTGGCCCATTAGTCCTGCCCATATCACATAGACCGGACGCCCGGGGACTCCCTAATCCAGGACGCCTGTGGGTGCCGCCGGACCTTCCTAGAGGGCGTCGGGGGCCACCCTTCCTCTCTCCTCGCTGCGTATCGGGGGAAACCCTTGGCAACAGCGTCATCATTGTCGCGTCCCTTCTTGGAGGTGTTGATTGGTACCGGCGCTTCGTAGTATAGGAGCTTGGTGGAGGATTCCCGGTGGGCGTGGCAGTCGCGAGGCTTTTTCGTTTTTTTGTTGATCCGCCATTTTTAGCGTTTGTTTCTTTTGTGGTTCTCTTTCGTTTTCTTTGGGCGTGCCTATGCTGCTTTTGCCCCATCACCGATTGTTGGTTGTATCAATGATGGCTGCTTTGTAATACAAAGCGAGGGAAACCCCTATTTCGTCATAAGTCTATAACCAGAGCCAAAATGTTGAATACAAATTGGCCAGAACCAGAAACTCAGCTTTCGGTTTTTTAGAAGCTACTAGGAAATGTGCCCGTGCGTTGCAACAGGAGAAACATATTCTCGCACACCCCTAGCAACACATTCTATGATTGTGCAATTTTCTCCTCTGACCGATGGTTCTCATATTGTCCATCTATTCATGACGAACATGATAAATCTTAAGTGATGTGCTTGTCATCAACTATGGCATAAGGCTCATGCGTCCGTACGGAGTAAATGCTGAACAATGGGCCATCATCGTCGTGTGGCGGTGACGGGTGCCAGCGGCTCTAGCACGGCGGGCTTCAGCTCGTCCTTTATCCGACTGATTATGAAGTGTGTAACATGGTTCGCGGTTCGAGTGAATGAGGAGTTGCTGCCGTTTTTCACCCCCTCTAGTGGATTCAGGCAAGGATGTCCCATGTCACCTTATTTATTCCTTTTGTGTGCCGAGGGCCTTACTACAGTCTTAAACAGATATGGTGGAGTGTATGCGGACAAGGGGATTCGAGTGTGCACCCAGTCACCGTGGATTAATCATCTACTGCTTGCAGATGATAGTCTTACCTTCATGCAAGCTGAACTGGAGAGTGCAGAGCATCTAAACAACATTCTCAGGATTTATGGTGAGTGTTCGGGACAGTGTGTTAACAAAGAGAAGAGTTCCATCTTTTTTAGTCCAAACACTCCCAGTCCAGTGCGAGCAATGGTGAAAACTGCGATGGGTATATCAGTTGAGGCATTCAATGAGAGGTATTTGGGCCTCCCCACAGCAGTTGGACAGATTACCTCAGACACCTTTGATTTCGTTGGAGAAAGGGTGAGGTCAAAGTTGAATGGGGGTACAGAAAGATTGGTTTCTTGCGCGGCGAGGGAAGTGCTTATCAAGGCAAGAGCACAGGCGGTGCCAACATACACTATGAGTTGCTTTAAACTCACGAAAAAAGTGTACAAAAACATCTCCTCACCGATGGCAAAATTCTGGTGGAGCAGTTCTATAGATCGAAGATCTCTACATTGGATAGATTGGAAGTCCTTGTCGCTTCCAAAGATCAGAGGAGGCATGGGATTTCGTGATCTGGAATGCTTCAATATTGCATTGTTAGGGAAACATGGATGGAGGCTTATCACCAGCCCGAACTCGTTATGCTCTCGGGTGTTGAAAAGCCGCTATTTCTCGAACACAGATTTCATGCATGCTACTATTCCGTGTAACGCCTCGGCTACCTGGCGAGCGATCATTGCCGGGAGGGCGGCACTGGATACTGGCCTGCTAAAACGGATTGGCGATGGCTCGTCCACGCGCGTGTGGTAGGATGGATGGATACCAGGCAAGCTCTCGCTGCGGCCCAATGCACAGATCGGTACAACACCTATCAATCTTGTTTCAGACCTGATCGATGTTGTGACTTGGTCTTGGAAAGCTGGCCTGGTTCGAGAAAATTTTATACCACTGGATGCTGATACTATTTTGAATATTCCACTCAGACAAGGAGGTGGTGATGATTATTGGGCTTGGGATCATGAGAGATCGGGTTCCTATACTGTGAAGTCAGCGTATCGTGCTCTAATGACGCATAACAAGCATTCAGCTCTAGCGGAAGGGGCGACTACAGAATCTTCAGAGAATAATAAGCATTATGGACTCGTCTTTGGAAGCTCAAAGTGCTACCTAAGGTGCGTGTGTTCTGGTGGAGGGTCCTCCAGGGCATTCTTCCAGTGGAGAGCACACTACAGTACAGGCATATTGCAACCTTAGCACAATGTAAGG